GGGGGAAAGGGTCATTGGGGGGAAAAAGGGACATCTGTAATACTTTAAACGAAAATAAAAATGATAATAAAAAGAAATAAATCAATAAAGACATTAAAAACAAACAAAAAAATGAAAGCGTGGCCCAGACGCGAGGACTGTGGACCGAGCTGGGTGGTCCCCTGTCCTCCAGCTCCTGCCCCTAGGCTTGTCCACGCCTCCGGTCTTTAAATCCAGCCTGTCCGTTCTCCCCCCTGTCCCCGGCCCCCAGAACTTCGGATCAAGAGGCAGAACTCCTCAGACAGCATCTCGAGCCTCAACAGCATCACCAGCCACTCCAGCATCGGCAGTGGCAAGGACACCGATGCAAAGAAGAAGAAAAAGAAGAGCTGGGTGGGTGCAGGGCTCCGGGGGCGGGGGGCACACACGCATGGAGCATGGGGGCCACCCCCGCCTCGGGGCAGAGCCCGGGTCCTTCCAGAAGAGCCCGAGACGGAGTCCCTTCGATCACGAGCCCCAAGCTCGTGTCTGCCCAGAGCAGGGTCTGCCCACTGTCCTTCCCCACGGGTCCCTCGGCCGCCCTCGGCCACGCACGTCTGCTTCCCTGGGGCTGCCGCACAGATGAGGTCGGATGAATTGGTCAGCGGAAGGGATGTGCCGTGGTCCTGTCCCAGCCTCCCTGCCCCGCTCCCTCTGCGCCCTGGAAAGAAAAACCATGGACCGAGCCATTCATTTAGATGCTCCTGGTGCCGTTTCTTTTATTTGGGGGGCGAGGTATTGGTGGAACTCTTCAGATTACTTCCAAAGGAACCTTTACATGGACGTTTGGCCCGGAGGGAGCTGGGTTTATGTTCCCCGGGTAACCCTAAACTGCCTGTGGCCGACCGGTTGGTCAGTCCTCTCCGGCCGGCGGTAGGGAGGGGTCCCCAGTGCGGGCTTCTTGCTCTCGGGCCCGGTCGGTGGGACTGGCCCCCAGACCTCTGTGCGGTGCGGACAGGTTCCCCGTGCGAAACGAGTGATTAAGTGTTGCTTCTTTCTTCCNCGCAAAATGCTGTCTTCAAATCCCCATTTTTTTCCAGGTCTACGAGGTAAGAGACGTGGTCCCTCCTCTGTCTCCTTTCCCCTTTGCCATGCTTTCCCATGCCCACAGCAGCCCTCTCCCCCACAGACAGGCCGGCCGCTATGCAACTGCCCATGACGATGCCCCCAGAGCTCCAGGCTCGCCCCGCTGCATGGTCCATCCTCGCTGCCCCACCCCCACCCCCGAGCGAGAGGAGTGGTCCGGCTGGGCCAATGGGAAGGTCACCGTCCCGCTCTGTTCCCCCCCTGTCCGCCCCTGGTCACAGAAGCGGTCAAACCCGACGTCTATCCAAAAACCGAGCTTTCTTGGTTTTGTTCCACCAAACCCTAGAAGCCCCCAAATGGAAGAGAGTCCTGGGTGAACTCTCTCAACTATGCTTTCCAAGGGCTAGTGGGGTCTAGACGGAGAGGAACCAGAGTTGGGTGAGGGTCCGGACCCAGTCCAGGGTGCCTCCAAGTCGCCCTGAAGCCCGCAGCCCTCTGAACATTCGTGGAGTCTCCGAAGACGTTTCAGGGATCAGAGCCCGGTTAGGCCGAGGGCAAGCCAAGAATTTCTGCCACAAACCAGACACCCCTGGACGTTGGGCCGAGAGGGCTTACGCCCCAGGCGCACGTGGGCCCTGGATCTCCGTGCGCACACGTGCACGCGGGCCCGCACGGCTTCCTGTGAGGCAGTGTGTGGAGGGGACATCACCGGATTGAACATTAGGGAGCCCGAGTCCCAGCCCCAGGCCTCCCTCAGTCATGCCGTCCCCAGCAGCCAGCTGTCTTCCTGCCTCGGCTCAAAGCAGACTGAGCCTTGTGGCACTTTTGAGCCTTGAGAACTCGCGGGTAGCACGTCCCTGCACACTCCCTCTGGCTAACTGCGCACTTACCCCCTCACTCCTACCCCATCGGAGCCAGATGGGTCCTTGTGACCGAGTGCAGACCCCAGCACACACCACCGTCAGCACCGACCATCACCGAGCAGCCCCCCTGAGCCGCAGGAGACACTTAGAGGAGTCCCCCCAGGTTCCCCCCTTTCCCTTCTCACTGTCCCAAAGGTCTGGTCTGCTCTTGTCCCCTGTGGCCTCCGACCCCTCCTTGACTCTGTCTCACCGCCCTTCCATCCGTGTCCCCGTGTGGTGTGCATGCTGTGTGGACGCATGTGAGTGGGTGTGGGACAGGACCCTGGTTTGCACCTGCAGCTCACACCCCTAACCCCCGAGCTCTGATCACCACCTGAGACCAAACCAGCTGTGGTCACGTTGCAGCATCCCCGGTGCTCTGAGGAGATGCTGGGAACCATCCCCTATCCTAGGACCTTTGGGTGGCCATGGTAGAAAGCCCCTGAGCTGGTGGTTCTCCCCGCCTGTGACGTGCTGAGCACAGAGACACTGTAGGGAAAGATACTCCTGTTCTGTTGACTTCCACAGAATCATCCGGTCGGTTTCTGGTTAACAGGTGCATAGATTCTGACCTGATGCGCCCAGGTCGGAGCCGGCCCCAGGGCTCCAGTGAGCTAGTCTCTAGATCAGGGGCGGGGAACCTTTTTTCTGCCAAGGGCCATTTGGATATTTATAACATCATTCGTGGACCATTACAAAATTATCAACTTAAAAATTAGCTATGGAAAAAGCTTCTAGATTTATTGCATTTTGAGTCCCGCCTGTGGTTGCCTTGGCAGGACCAGGCCAAATGATTCTGCATTCCCCACCCCTGCTCTAGACTGACCGACCGGTCATTGGTCTTGACAGAAGGTGACTGGATGGCCCCAAGGCGTACCTGTGACCTCTGGGGGCTTCCCTGCCCCTCTCACCCCCACTTTTCTCAGCCCTAATTTCTAGGCCACTCTGCTCACATTCCATGAATCAGGTGAAGCCCTAGAGAGGGGGGCTGGGCCCCAGCAGCAGGGGCCCTGCCTGTGTGCCTCGCAGTCTCAGGAGTCCCCTCCCACCCCTTCCTGTTTTCCCACGTAGCCCTGATGTCGCTCTCCCTGGATCTGCTTTTTTCTAGCTTCGGAGTTCTTTCAACAAAGCCTTCAGTATAAAAAAGGGACCCAAGTCAGCCTCCTCGTACTCCGACATCGAGGAGATCGCCACCCCCGACTCCTCAGCTCCCTCGTCCCCCAAACTGCAGCACGGTCCCACGGAGACGGCCTCGCCTTCCATCAAGTCCTCCACCTCGTCCTCGGCGGGCGGCGACGCCCCTGAGTAAGTGTCCCCCGCAGCCTGCCACCAGCCCGGCCCCTGCGTGAAACCCTGGCCCCAGTCGGCCGTCAGCCCATCAGACCCTGGACACAGGTGCTCCACCCAGACCTCCGCCCGGGCCTCAGACCAGCAGGTGGACCTGCACTGTCACCGCTGACCCCCTAAGGAGCAGGAGGCACCGCGACCCCACCACCCTCTCAGTTCCCCGGTAACCGGCGCTTCTGGGCGCGGCCGGCCTGACTCCCGCTTTCGTGCAGGGCCCCTGCCCACCCGGCCCCCCACACTCGGCTTTTCCACGCGGGCGAGGAGGAGGAGCCCGAGAGGAAGGAGGTGTCCGAGCTGCGCTCCGAGCTGTGGGAGAAGGAGATGAAGCTGACAGACATCCGCCTGGAGGCCCTGAACTCCGCCCACCAGCTGGACCAGCTCCGGGAGACGATGCACAACATGCAGGTGAGTCCAGGTGGCGCTGTGGGCGGGGGGCAGGAGGCGGGAGACCAGGCGCGTCCATCCAGCCCTGCCCCCTACCCTGTCTGTTCTGGCCACAGCTGGAGGTGGACCTGCTCAAGGCGGAGAATGACCGGCTGAAGGTTGCCCCGGGCCCCTCCTCGGGCTCCGCTCCAGGGCAGGTCCCTGGGTCGTCTGCGCTTCCCTCCCCTCGCCGCTCGCTGGGCCTGGCGCTCACCCACTCCTTCAGCCCGAGTCTCGCAGACACAGGTACCTCTGGGAAGGGAACCTGTCTGGGGGAGGGGAGGAGAGGGTCCCACCCACTGCTACACATCCCACGTGCTCTGGTGGCCGGTTCCCTGGGCTGGGGAGGCGACGGCCCACACCAGGTAGGTGCCAGTGCCACGAGACACAAAGGCCTCCTTACTGTTCACTGTGGGGCTCCTGTTCCTCTCTGTGAAGCTTCGAGAGTTAGGTGGGAAGGATGATGGCTGGGAGGCTCAGGAAGGCCTGCAGGTGCCCCTGAGGCCCACAGTGCCTCTTGCTGCCCGCAGACCTGTCTCCCATGGATGGCATCAGCACCTGCGGCCCTAAGGAGGAGGCCACCCTCCGGGTGGTGGTGAGGATGCCCCCGCAGCACATCATCAGAGGGGTAAGAGCTTCAGGGGGGAAGCCGGCAACACCCATTCTTATCCGAGAAAACCTGGGCCCCCCAAAACCAGAGTATTCAGCTCCCGAGGACTTTGAGGGCCTCCTTTTTCCTGGCATCATCTTCCTGGAGGCTCATGTGCTCCTATGTTGGCCTCACAGGACCTGAAGCAGCAGGAATTCTTCCTGGGGTGCAGCAAGGTCAGTGGCAAGGTCGACTGGAAGATGCTGGACGAGGCTGTTTTTCAGGTGTTCAAGGTAAAGGGAGATCTGTTCTCGCAGAGGTGGCTTGTCCTCCCTTGGGAGATTGAGTCACTCAGACCCCGGGGTCCTGGGAACCCTGGATCCCTCGTGGAGAAATGCTGACTTGGAAACCGCACTCTCCTTCCTCTCCGTCTACCTGTGTTCCCTCTCTTCTTGTGCTTTTACACCTTTGTGTCTCCTTGGGGTTCCTCACCGTCTCCTCGTTCCCCTCTTCTGTCAGGACTACATTTCTAAGATGGACCCAGCCTCGACCCTGGGGCTCAGCACCGAGTCCATCCATGGCTATAGCATCAGCCATGTGAAGCGGGTGTTGGATGCGGAGCCCCCGGAGCTGCCTCCTTGCCGCCGAGGTGTCAACAACATATCAGTCTCCCTCAAAGGTCGGTCTTACTCTTGGGGTGGGGTGGGGTGCGGCGGAGGGAGGGAGAGGGTGGTCAGATAGCCCACCGTGTGTTCATTCAACAGCGATTGTTGAGAAGCTACAGTGTGAATCTCACTGGGCTTCAGGTCCTCCGTTCCACATCCTTGGATACAGCTAACCCGGGTGGAAAGCATTTTTCTTAGATGTTACATTGTTGCCGACATGTCCTATGTAGTCACTGCCTCTGATTGTAGCATGTATGCCCTAAGCGATACAATGTAACATTTACACAGCATTTACATAGTATCTGGAGATGACTTAAAGTACACAGGAAGGTGTGGGTAGGCTACTTGCAAATACTACCCCATTTATATGAGAGACTTGAGCATCCTCTGATTTTGGTACCCGCAGGGGTAGGGGAAGGGAGAGGGTCCAGGAACCAATCCCCCACAGACATCAGATACTGAGGGACAACTAATGTGAGATATAAGAAGATAAGACCCAGCCCTGACCTTTGTTCCCAGGGACATTTTTGTTAGCAGGGAAATTTCTGCCAAGTCCACCTACGTACCTGTAGCTCACGGCAGGTCCCTAGAAATACAATCCATATGGTCAACCCTCGGGGTTCGGGGCTTCCTGTGGAGCCCCGGGGCAAGTGGCTCTGAGCTTTTCAGTTCAGTGGGCTCCCCGATAAGGAAAGAAAAGCCCACAGGGTCCTGGGGCCATCCTCAGGACCCGTCGAGACTCATGCTCTGTGGGTTGGGTGCAGGTCTGAAGGAGAAGTGCGTGGACAGCCTGGTGTTCGAGACACTGATCCCCAAGCCCATGATGCAGCACTACATCAGCCTCCTGCTCAAGCACCGGCGCCTGGTCCTCTCGGGCCCCAGCGGCACGGGCAAGACCTACCTGACCAACCGGCTGGCCGAGTACCTGGTGGAGCGCTCTGGCCGTGAGGTCACCGAGGGCATCGTCAGCACCTTCAACATGCACCAGCAGTCCTGCAAGGTGGCTGCCTCCCTCTTCCAGCCTCAGCCTCCCCCAGCCTTNTACCTGGTGGAGCGCTCTGGCCGTGAGGTCACCGAGGGCATCGTCAGCACCTTCAACATGCACCAGCAGTCCTGCAAGGTGGCTGCCTCCCTCTTCCAGCCTCAGCCTCGCCCAGGCCCCTTCCCCTCCTTCCCTTCCCGGTCTCACCTCAGTCTTCCTCCTGCCCCCTCCCTCCCGTCGCATCTCCTTTTCTAGTCCCCTCTGTCCCGACCTTGTCCCCCACACTCCTCCCCTTGCCTGTTAAGCCCCTCATTTCTACCCACTCCTCTTCCATTCCCTTTCTTTTTGGTGTGATTCGCTGACTCTGGGCTTTCTGGGAGGAAGCACTCAGAATTAATTGTTACCTACTGTGCGGTCCCCTGCCAAGCCCCGGTGTCTCTGAGCACCTACCCTAACACTTGGGGACTGGTTCAAATCTTGGTTCTCCCAGGTTGGGGAGGCAAGTTCCCTGGGAGAGATCATGGTACCAGCCAATGAAAATCCACTTAGCACTAGTATTCCCCACCTTTGGGGCCTTTGGAACCACTGCTTAGGAGGGTGGCTTTAGAGCCCTGGGACCACTGTATATCAGTCTTTGGCATCTGTTTCTATAGTCCGGGGGGGGGGAAGCAGAGGCCCCAGGGAGGTCCCGAGATAACATAGCGTCTGTAGGGCCCGTTGCCAGGGCTGAGCCGGCGCCTGCGGCTCCTGAGTGCTGACCCCTTGCCCTCTGTCATTTCAGGACCTGCAGCTGTACCTCTCCAACCTGGCCAACCAGATAGACCGGGACACAGGCACGGGGGACGTCCCCCTGGTGATCCTGCTGGACGACCTGAGTGAGGCAGGCTCCATCAGCGAGCTGGTCAATGGGGCCCTCACCTGCAAGTACCACAAGTGGTGAGCTGGGGGCAGGACCCAACCATCGAGGTGGGGAGCAAGGGACCCGGGCCAGCCTGTGAGCTCTCGTTGGGCGCACATGGCAGACCACACGTGTTCGGACGAGTCCGAGTAAATCCTTTTGTTCTTTCCTCCCACAGTCCCTACATCATAGGTACCACAAATCAGCCTGTGAAAATGACCCCCAATCATGGCCTGCATCTGAGCTTCAGGTGAGCACTGTGGCCCTGGAGTCTGTAAACTAGTTACATCCCGGGATCTGGCCAGAGTCGCAGCTGATTAGGGCTCTCTGCCTGCACACCCTGCCCCCAGCCGGTTGTCCGAATAGGGTCACTGGCTCGAGAATCAGCTCTGCCTGCCCAGGGCTGCTGCCCCGGGCCAGCTGAACCCTCTGTGCCCTGAGAAGGGACTGAGTGGGCGTTAGTGGAAGGGATGGACCTGCAGGGGACGAACCTGACAGCGTCCCCGTTGCCGCCCTGACCCCGCTCCCCCACCCCTGGCTGCAGGATGCTGACCTTCTCCAACAACGTGGAGCCAGCCAACGGCTTCCTGGTTCGCTACCTGAGGAGGAAGCTGGTGGAGTCCGACAGTGACATCAACGCCAACAAGGAGGAGCTGCTGCGGGTGCTGGACTGGGTGCCCAAGCTGTGGTATCACCTGCACACCTTCCTGGAGAAGCACAGCACCTCGGACTTCCTCATCGGTACTGGGGCTCCCCCACCCTACCCCCCACATGCCTGGAGACCTCAGGGGCTTCCCTACCGCTCAGCCCTTTGCGGGGAGCTCCCCTTCTCCCCCCTCCCCCCGGGGTCTTTGGCATCAAGGAGTGGAAACCTGTGACGTCGGACTTAGAGCCTCTGGGTCCCTCAACAAGCTTTCCCATGAGCTGGGTGAATCACTCCTCCCTTCAGGATGCTTCGCCCCTCCCTCCTGTTTCCCCGAATGAATGGAACAGGGGAGGGAAGTATTGGGGGTTTCAAGGCTTCCTCCCGCCCTCACCCAGCCCCACCTTGGGAGGTGTTTATTTAGGAGGTTGCCATCCTCGCCCCCTGCTCTGGAGGAGCCTCAGAATCGCCCCACTCTGAACTCCCTTCACCCCTGGCGAGTCAGCGCCCCCCCGCCTGGGATTAGGGAGTCAGGGAGGCGGGGCCCTGGGACAGCCCNGGAGGAGCCTCAGAATCGCCCCACTCTGAACTCCCTTCACCCCTGGCGAGTCAGAGCCCCCCGCCTGGGATTAGGGAGTCAGGGAGGCGGGGCCCTGGGACAGCCCGGCGCTCGGCCACCTTCACGGCCGCTCGCTTTTCCGCAGGCCCCTGCTTCTTCCTGTCCTGCCCCATCGGCATCGAGGACTTCCGGACGTGGTTCATCGACCTGTGGAACAACTCCATCATCCCCTACCTGCAGGAAGGAGCCAAGGACGGGATCAAGGTGAGCCCTGCCCTCCGCCCCCGAGGTCAGGCTGTCCCCCCCCACGGCAGGAGCACCTATTTCTTCGGCGTTGGTCACGGGCTGCCGAGACGGGTTAGGCTCTCCTCCTGGCAGGTAGACTGAGGCACTGGATGGACGAAGCCACCTCTGAGGGGCTGCCCGGAGCCCTGTGTCCACCGAGCTCCACCCACTCCGGGGATCAGGCAAATGGAGAAATAACTGTGCTAGGAATTATTTCTAATATAATTAGAAACATTTGTATCAGCCACGAGCAGAGCCTGATACAAATGTTCCTTTGGCCTCGCTACTTAACATCCTCAAGTGAAAGGTGATAAAGTCTGCTCTGCTCAGATCGCTGGGCCAAGCTAGAGACCGATGAAGCGTGGGGAGCAGTTTTTAAGTGAGAATAGGGACTTTGTGCTAAATGAAGATGTCATTTTTTAAAATCTCTTCCATCTCTGCCCCCTGTGAATCAGGCATCTGTCCCGGCACTAGGGAGCGATGATGCCGTGACGACCCGTCGGTCGGTCACGCGCTGTCCGTGAAAGTAATTTTGTCCTTGAGGCAGGTCTCTCCCGGTGCTGTGGTGAATTCCTAGAGATGTGATCTGTCGGATGGAGGCCAGGAATCGTCGTTTCACTTAATTTTGCGTGACTAGTGCCCGTTTTCCAATTTAAAGGCATTTTCACACAGAGCGTCTGTCTTCAACAAAGTCAAAAAAATTTTTAAAAGGCATTATTACCAAAGTGGAAGAGTTTCCTACTTGAAAAGTAAATCTGCAGGGTTTGTACGTGTTCGGTTTTCACACCATCTGCCAAATTACCCTCCAAAGCGGTTTCACCAATTTACACCAAATGCCTTCCCTGGCTGGGAAACGCAGAGAAATCTCCGCGGGATCAGAGCTCAGGGTCTGCACCTGAGGAGGTGCGTGGCGTGGCCACGCCTCTCGTCCGTGGGCTCCTCTCTCAGCAGCCTGCTTCCCCCCTCCAGGTCCACGGACAGAAAGCCGCGTGGGAGGACCCGGTGGAGTGGGTCAGGGACACTCTCCCATGGCCGTCAGCCCAACAGGACCAATCAAAGCTGTACCACCTGCCCCCACCCACCGTGGGCCCTCACAGCATCGCCTCGCCCCCCGAGGACAGGACAGTCAAGGACTGCACCCCAAGTTCTCTGGAGTCCGACCCTCTGGTGAGTAGGAACCATCTTAAGATACAAACATCGAAGAATTGAAGTTTTCATGCATTCCTGGTGGGCGGAGGCCGGAGAGGGGCAGGAAGGGCAGGACCTGGATGAGGCCAGCAAGGAGCTCGGACTGCCAGAGCCTTGGGGGGTGGGGGGGTACAGATCGTAAGCCTGCGGCCTGGCTTGAGCTAAGAAAGAATGTGTGCCAGCAGCGGGCATCCTAGCAGGGCCCGGGTCTCAGGCAGATCCGGGTGGGCGAAACATTAGCGGTATCGTCACCCAAAGGGACTGAACCTCAAGTATAGAAAAACGTCCCCGGGCAGAAGAGCAGACAGAGGACATGAGCCGACGTCCCACCAGAGGAAATGCACATGGACAATAAAAACATAAAGAGGTCCCACCTCTCCCTTAACTGCAGACATGCAGATGGAAACAGGGAGACGGCATTTCCCATCGGAGAAAACGGTGGGGGAGGAGGCACGGATGTCCCCCACGGCACCGTGTTAGAGCCTCGCACACACACATCCTGGGACCCTCGGGTTTTCCCTTCCGAGTGGAAAACTCTTCCACTTCAGTCACAGTACTTTTAAAAAATATATTTACTTTTATTAATTTCAGAGGGAGAGAGAGAGAAACATCAGTGACGAGAGTCATTGATTGGCTGCCTCCTGCGCGCCCCCTACTGGGGATCGAGGTGCCTGCAACCCGGGCATGTGCCCCGACCGGGAATCAAACCGGTGACCTCCTGGTTCGTGGGACCATGCTCGACCGCTGAGCCACACCAGCCAGGGCGGCATCGAGATTTTTTATGTTCCCCTTCTGCGGGCAGGACCGAGCCCCGGCTCTCACGAGTCCTCTCTTACCCCTCTCTAGATGGCCATGCTGCTGAAGCTTCAAGAGGCTGCCAACTACATCGAGTCTCCAGACCGAGAAACCATCCTGGACCCCAACCTCCAGGCAACACTTTGAGGGTCCCGGGGGTCCCTGTCACCCCGGGCAGCAGGACGCTGGCATCGGCTCTGTTGGCGCCCCCTTTCCCCTCCCCTCCCCCAGCGCTGGCTCTCCAGCGAGACCACAACGGGAGGGGCAGGAGGCGCAGGAAGACGGCGGGTTCTTGGTGCTGCACCTTTGAGAACTTCCTAGCGAGGACTAGTGGGGTGGCGTTTGGGGACGTGTGTCCCCAGCATACATTTACTGGCCTCCTCTCATGACTTTGGGGAAAAGACGATGCTGGGTCTTTTTCCTTGATTTCTTGTCTCAATGACGGACTCCTGGGCTTTCTGGGGAGGGTTCAGAAGACACCAAATGAGCCCACAGCAGGTCCTCACCGATCCTCAGGAGCAACTCTGAGACAGACAGTCCCCGCGGGGACATCCGGGGAGGCGGGAGCTCCCAGGACTTATGCAGACCCCTCCTGACCCATCGCCACTGCCAACAACTCACCCCCGGAGATCTGGCTGGAGCCCAGAAAAAGAAGCATGTGGTTTAAAAAAATGTTTAAGTCAATCTGTAAAAGGTTAAAAAAAAAAACAAAAAAAAAAGCAAAAGATGAAGCTGGAGAGGGGAACAGGTGCCAGGTAGAGAGCGTCACCCCCCCCCCCC